GGGTGTAGGTCTCACACCCATAATCAATCAAACTCTAAAAGCCTGCCCCATGACTGCATGAGGCTTTGGGGGACACCCAGACACAAACCATAACACCACCAGATTAGAACAGTAAGCATAGTATCTTACAAGTAAAAACACACTTAAAACAGCTTTTAATGCATTTTTTCACAAATCAATATACTATATTTTTATGTCATGTTTACTTACGCTTAAGAATTAAAATCCAGGTGCTGTGGCACAAGCCTGTAATCCTAGCATGAGGGGGAAGCAGGAGGTCATGAGTTCAAGGCAAGCCTGAACTACAAAGCAGGCCTGTTTCAAAACACCAAAAAAGAGAAAAAGCAAGCACATGATTCCGATAGGAACATAGGAAACCTCTCATTCATGACTATACAGGGCAGATATACATTTTTTACTTCATCAGAGGCACCTGGTTATCTACAGCTAATTCACAATGAGACAGCATTTCAGTGGAAAATAATTAGGGATGTTTCAGAGGGAGAGAAATTAAATGGTAAAGCTTGAAAATACCTGAATTAAACATGTCCTCTCATATCTCTAGACTTTCAAGTAAAATCCTTCCTTGACTTCAGATCTGTAAACATTGTACAAACCTTTCCTTGTTAAGCAATCAAAACAGCCAACGTTATAAAGGCAACAACTCTCCCAATAGCTGAAGCAAGGGAGACTGGCAGAGGGAACAGGCGTCCTGAGCCCATGCTGCCCACTGCCCTGGCCCTAGCCAAGGAGACACAGTTTCCAAGTCAGCTCAGAGGGTCTGGGGACCACGGTCTCAGCTGCAACCGCCACACTGATTCCTGAGGGAAGTGGGGCGCTACCTATGGCTCTTGGCCCCTTCCTAAGGGTCTATGTCCCACCCCACACTCAGCTTGGCCCTGGAGCCTCAGGGAGACTCTTGGTCTCCACCCAACCCAGGACGCAGACACAGAAGCCAGGCCTTAAAGGGAAGCATGGGCATGTAGGTCCACAGGCTCTCCTCTCCTGGCTGCTGGCTGGACTAGGGATCCCCAGCTTCTTCTGATTTCTACCGCCTCTTAGCTCCCTGACTCTCCCTACCTTCCTGGGAGAGAAGGGACAAGAAGAGGGTTTGGGAGACAGAGTCCTTAGTGCATAAGCTTCAGAGAGAAACTGTGTCCAAAGAGCCTTACCTCCTTTGCCTGCTTTGTCACCTTCTCGCTAGCTTCACCACACGACTGGGTGTTGCAGTGACTGGAAGTGCTTTTTCCGGGCTCTTACTCCCCCATTCAATGAATGTGTAGAAATGTAAAAGTAAAGATTTTTGTGGGAATCAGCTAGCTTCTGACCCATAGATAAGCAGCATGAGATTGCCCAGAAAGAAGGCGCTGGGAATGTCCGGACATTATCTCCTGTCCTTGGGAGAAAGAACATCTTGTGTTGACACAGAGCACTTTCCCCTCCCCTGTAGTCACGCTTACAACTCCCTCCTTTGTGGTTTTTCTGGTTAAAAAGCCAGAGCTAACCTGGCTCAGGGCTCTCTGTTCCTGCGAGGTCAGTGAGCCCCATGCATGCTTGGTGAATAAAAATCCCCTTGCTTTTTGCATAAGAGAGCGTCTCTTGGAGTCTTCCTTCACGCGGCAAGTGTCACGACCCTTACAAATGGGTCAGAACAATTTGTGAATGTGAGAGAGCAACACGAATTTTAGGGCAAAAAAGAAAAGTGCCAAAGAAGTGCACAAGGAGAAAAAGCTGTTTCAAAGGAAAAAGAGAAGCTACATCCTCCACCCAGCACAGCCCAGGAACAGGAGGGCAGGGGCAGAGGAAAGCCTGCAACCTCTTCTATCTTCTTTCTGATGGGAAATCCAGGCCGGGGCACTTGCTCTCGGACTAGAAGATTGGCGTCAGGTGCCAGTTTGCGGGCTGTTGCTCTACACTGTGACTAACAAGTCTCTGTGGCTGGCAGGTTGTGCCCGAGTGCCCTGGCCACACTGCCATGCCCTGGTTTCCCACCTCACTAAAAACAACTGTGAATTGTTTGATATCAGCATTCCATAGAGAAGCACTATTTCACAGTCTTTAGAAACATTTCTTTGGTGCGAATCTTTTCAGATCCCACCTAAAACCTGAGATGTCCCAGAGCATGGAATTTCACATTTTGTCGTGAGACCAGCACCACGTCTGGTATTAAATGCTGACAAAAAGCTGACCCCAGAGATCAAGTCCGCCAATTGTCGGTACATGCTGGAGTCCAGCTCCAACCAAGGGAACAGCAAGAGGGGAGCGGGAATGCAACAAAAGAAAGAAGGGGTCAGGAGGACTGGTGAAGGTAACCAGCAGTTTCCTTTATTGAGCAAAGCACTTAAGTACAGATTTGTCAGGCAGGCTGCCAAACCCTTGCCCCAGACTCAACCCCAAAGTTCCTGCTACTGTTACAATCATTGCTTAGGAACATAATGACCCGTTCGGGACAACTGACTCCACAGATCGGCCCATTGCTTTCCCACAGATCTCCCACAGACCGGCCCATTGCATTTCCTCATACAAGGAAAGCTCCCATTGCCATGGGGAGGTTTTTGTCCTTGCCCGGCTCAGTCCGCAACAGGTACAGGCCACCAGGTGACAGGAACGGGTAGTCCCTGTTGGGTTTTCTGCAGCCCTTATCCACTGATTGTGTTTTCTTGATGGCTCTGTCTGTGCGCATGTGTTTTTCCTGCAAGTTCCCCAGGGGAAGGGACCTCAGCTACCACTGTTGCAATCACCGCCCTGCTGGGGTCTGGACAATCACGTGGAAACTGTTCAAAGGGAAATTCCCGGGTTAATTACCCAAAAAGGGTTTGGGCAAAGGTGACAAAACCAAAACAAACCAGGCAGCCTTCAGAACCAGAGCAGGCTGAGTATTCCCACAAGGCTCTGAGCAGCATTTATAGAAGGGAAATGAGGCAGAGAAAATAATTCGCTGTATTGAGTCCGTGTGTCAGTTGTTTACATCTTAACCAGTGACTTGGTTAGGAGTCTCCTGCAACCAACGCCCAGTTACTGC